AAAATGCACAACAAGGGTTTCACAATACACATAGCAGAAATACTGGTAGTGTTCTTATTTTTCACCCAAAAAACCATAAAACCATCAATGCACTGCATTGATACAGAGCTCTTCTTGTCTAAATCCTAAAACCTGTTGTATTGTGCTAACAGATTCACAATGGTGTAGTATCTTGTCCAAAGACACTTCGATTGAAGCTCCTGATGAGTGTAAAACACAGTCACGACATTTCCAGCAATACAACTCAGTAAATTAAGTGACACTTGCTTTACTTTCTTTCAGGGAACAAGATCCTGAACCAAATGGGATTGAGCCTTTTGGGAGAAACAATCCGTGCAGGAACATACAAAGCCTCTGTACCCAGCTGGCCGATTAAAGATACTTACCACTTCCGCCACCTTCTACACCGCTTCGCTGCCCATGTGACTACAGGTGTAGAACTTAGCAAGCATGAGGAGGGATGTCTTAAAAAGCTGGGCAACGACTGTGATGCTTACTTGCGCACAAATGCACATGGCTGCTTCTATTACACTCAAGTGTTGGCTGCACTCACTGACATGTTAAAGAGGTCAGGCCTGCCACAGGTGAGTAGAGAAACATTTGAACAACACGGACTAGTGCACTGATCAATATATGGCAGCTGTTAACCACTAAGATGTTACACTAATATGTTCTTCTTTCAAGGTGAGTGACAGCTGCCCTGCAAAGACGCCAAAAGACCATCTACTCCTCAGTTTGGGATCACCTGTATACGAGTTTTGCCTAAATCCTGAGGCCCTCCTGCCCTACCTCATCAAGGATAGGCCACTGATGCCAGACGTCTATAACCACAGGCTCAAGATCGATGTTACCACAGCAGGTCAGATTTCATGTTTGTGGACAAATGTGTCAACTGTGAATATGTCACAACCAGTGTGAAAGCCACACTCAAACACAAAACTTAGTGGGTCAGATTCAGTGAGTTTATTTACAGTCCAAGTGATGTGATAACTACTTACAAAATCTTCAAGCAAGAGAAAATCCACAGTTTCTATCTACTAAGTCTGTAGGAACTCGTAGTGTTCACTAGTCAAATCCCTAACTTCCGATCCCACATGACACAGAAACGGATTCTCCCCCACAAATTTCTCTCTCTCAGAGATAGACGCCCAGTGACACTTTTTTTTTCAAATTTGTGTGTGTGTGTGTGTGTGTGTTAGATGGGGAAGAGTGGATCAGCACTGGTCTCTACCTCTCTCCTGGTATGAGTACCTACATGGTGATGCCAACTGAGATTATCAACAAGGAGTGGAAGGTGAAACCTACAAAATTGTATAATTTAAAGGTCTTTCTCCTTCTGATGACACTACATGTTCATGAAAACCTCAAGTGAGGTTTGCATGACTCCTTTTTACCCTTTGTAAGTGTAACAAGGTCCATTTGTAGTTGCAGCCATTTCAAAGATTGATGTAACGACCATGACATCACCCACAGGTGAAGCTCTGTTTTGAAGCTTTTGGGAGTGTTGAGTTATGCTGTGTTGTGCTTCGTGGCGTGCCGCAACAGCCCCTTAGGTTCTGCCTGTTTGCAGCAAAGGTTCATTCAATCTAAAGGACCAGCCCCACTTGATTTTTTTCTGTCATTTAACAGCTCAAACCATCCCTGAAATCTCTTACTTGATTGGATGATATTGACACAGGAAACTAATAGCACACCACAAGAAAGAAAATGTAATCATGACAACTGCTTTGTAAATTATTCCTGAATGCACTCTGTATTCAGGAATGGGGCTGTTTGCAAAGGCGACTGGTGTTGTAATTTGACGCTAAATCCAATAGATTTTCCATTTTATCTACAGATTCAGATAGGCTGTCAAACTGATGACCTACATGACAAGGATGAGCTGAAGAGACCACCACGTGTTCATGAGCGATTTCCTGTTACATCAGAGATGATGCATGTGTCCAACCTGTGGGGGGGGCTCATCTACCTGGTGGCCCCACCCAACACACAAGTGAAGGGGTTGGAGATCATAGTGCAGAAAGCTGTAA